TTTTAGCACTCAAGGTGTAGTTTTGCTTCGTTGTTGCCACCAGATGCCATCTGCGGGTCATCTGCGATCTCTTCTATGAGTGCAAGACTTTTATACTAGGTTAGAGTAAAAATATAAATTACAGTAAATTTTACAATGAGGAACAGAATTAAAATTTTTGCAGAAATTTCCGTATAACTTACCTTGCCTTTCTTTGTTCGTAAAAAAGTTCATGCAAATTTTCCATTTTCTTTCTCTTGTACGAATTCCTATTGAATTCATAAATATCTTTGATCCTCTTTACATTCTGAGTTTGGTCCTGCTTATTCTCTTTAACTTTTTTGTCATTTTTAGAAAGACATTCGCTTGCCCTAAAATAAAGAGCGACCTCAAAACGGGCACATCCATTGGTGATCTTAGCCCAGAAGACATCAGCATCATAGCTTCTATGGGAGATGCCTTAGCGGTAGGAACATAATTATTGTTGTTGTTTTTTATCCTCACACTCACTTACAAACTTTTCAGTACTTTTGTCGTTTGATGCCGTTTTTGATTTTCCATGCACTTTGTCGGTTCTACCGCGTTTGTAGGTTTTAAATCAACCATCAGAAGTGCTGCAGTCGTCATTTTTGTGCTTTTGTGACTGAAATACAGCTCATTGATGTTGTAAATTTTTGTTCACAACGACCTTAAAGAATCTGGTCCCGGTTATGTTATATAGGTGTTGTATAGTGTTCCTTTTTTGAGTTTTATGTTCATCGCCATTCTCTATAACAAATGAAAGTTTGTAGACCGGACTAGGGCTCTGGCCGAAAACAACCATTGAATTTCGTGGTGCTGCTTTTCCGAGTGGTGGTGATGCAACTATCGATGGCTTAGTCACCATACCAAGTAAAATAAAAATAAAAATCTCATCTCAACGTTTTGTTTATCAAAACATTTAGACATTCTGCGCGAATTCAACAATCATCTGGTGGGTGTCTCGCATGGAATGGGCACTAGAGACCAGCTTCCAGAGACACAACTCAGCGTAGCAGAGAGCGGTGCTACTACGGATAAGATGCCGGAGCAGGTAGATTCCTAATTTTACTATTCCCTGTATGCTTCTTTTACTAGGCTGCATCTCTAAAAGTTACCCGACTTATATTCTAAAATTATTCCAAAGATCGAAATTTCAGGCAAGGGAACTTGTTCGCCGTCTTAAAAATTTGGTAGAAGTTGATTATACCCAACATTGGATTATGGTCATTGCCACTATCGGCACAGAAGAAGTAAGTAATTAGTAACTTTTTAGATTGAAAAGAAAAAGAGGAGGAGCTTGTTATTTTCATTTATAGTGTTAGTGCTCCTTCTGTTACCAAGTAAATTTGCTTAGATTTGAAGTGGATACGTAAAAAGTAAGCAAGTATGAGCCGTCCGTTAAGGTATGCTCTCGATGCACATCACCAAACGTCGGTGCACTTATAGAGGCCATAGATATCCTTCAAGCTCATCTTCCTCGTGCATTCGTTGTGCTTCTTGGACCTATACATGTGTCATTTCCCACAAAACTCAAAGGGAATTTGCTAAAGTGACTTCTCGTAATTACTCTTACTGCATGATCTTCCATGCCAATTCTTGTTTAGATCTCGATGCGAATGTTCACGTGATGCTTCTAATGCTTTTATGGAGAACCTAAGTGCAGACTGGAAAAAGGCATTTGAGGAGCTCCAAGAACACGTGGATAGGAGTCCATTTAGGGTTTGTTCCGACATTATCCTTCCTGTACTTGCTTGTAATATTCTCTAAAAATGTCGTCACATTTAACAGGAATGAATTATCTCAGATTTTATAGCCCTCCACCTTCGGTCTACTGGCAATTCCTGAACTTACAATTACCTCAAGATATCCATATGGACTCTTCATACCGAACAAGCCGCTGTTGAACAGAAGAGGTTCTACATGTTCCACACTTACCTATTTTGCTTATAGAGAAACTTCGTTAGGTCATAACTACGCTACAAAATGGCTTTGGAATCGTCTGATAGCTGGCGAAAACTATAATTTATCTGCTGCAGTTCTTTCTCAAGACGCCTACTTTTGTCCGTCTATTGTGCGTATATTCTCACTTGAGTTAATAATTCTTTTGACTTTCTATAGAGAGTTTCTTTCAGGGATGTCCCTACTTCCGCAATACCGCCAATGCACATGGCTGTCAACTGCTGAGTTTAAGCGAAGCAAAAGAAAAAGAGCTTCTTCTAGGTGGTGACGGAAAAGTGCTCAAAAAGGTATGACTTATACGA